TCGTGGACTTCATGCAAGAAACGCCTTCACAGGGCCTCCAATATTCTTCAAATCCAAGAGGAAAGTGTCGTGTCCGAAGTGGGATACGTCTTCACTTAACTCGACATGCTTGACAGCTTTACTACCAGCAACCTGGAGCGACTCCGCGATTTCTCGCTGCTGCCAGGCAGGGAAAAGAATGTCACTCGCTACACCCATGACAAGTATAGGGTGATTCTTTAGTGAAGAGAGCCCGTTAACTAGATCCATGGGAGGACCTGAGGAGACGGATTCCGATTGAGCAGCTGAAGATGAGCTACCCGAACCCTGCGCACTGTCACCTGTCGCTGGCTGTTCCTCGTACGGCTTTGAGGGTAGAGTTAGGCTACAGGACGCATTATCCTGAGCAGACATCTTCCCGCGCGAAGAAATCTTTTTCTCATTCTCCAGTCGACGTTGAAGCGTAGCTTGTTGCTGTGATATTCCCAGGTCGAAAAGATCCATGGCCTTGGAAATATATAGAAGACTGTTAGAATCGTACTCTAGAGAAAATTTCTCGCCCGCATGGTCGAGATACGTCTCAATTAAGAAATCAGGACACAACGCCGGGTTCTTGCTTGAGTCTGCTCGCTTTCTCCCAAATCGTTTCTCCCACTCTGGTCCACTACGGTAGGTGACTGTAGCAATCTCTCGAGCCAACTTCATACCCGAATGGGGAGGTATTGAATCATAGTAGAATCCCCTCGCCCAGTTGGGGTCCATCATGAGGACCTGACGTTGAGTGTGACGCATGGCAATGCTATAAGGATGGCTCCTTGCACATCCGCTGATGCTCACTATCTTGTTCACTCGCTCGGGAAATAGTATCCCTGCGGCCAAGCTCTGCATTCCACCCATACTAGCACCAACAGAGGCATAGAGCTTCGAAATCCCCAGATGGTCTAACAACCGAAACTGTGCTCGAACCATGTCGTTCAGAGTCAGGATAGGGAACCTGGTAGCGTATCGTTTGCCGTCCGATGGGTCAATTGATGACGGACCTGTGCTTCCATAACAGCCCCCGATCACATTCGTGCAAATGATAAAATGCTTGTCCGTATCCAAGGGAGCTCCTGGGCCGATGAATTTCTCCCACCACCCAGGCTGCGGGTTTGTCTTTGTGCTATGCGCATGACTTGAAGCTGACAAACCGGTGTGGAGGAGTATAGCATTGCTCTTGTCCGTATTCAAGGTTCCCCATGTTTCATAGGCAATGTCAAACTCAGGCAGCATTCCACCCCAATCCAATAGGATATCTTCCTTGGAAGTAAAAAGCTCATGCTTTCCAACTGTATAGGACGGTTCTGGCCCGGAAGCTAACGATCTCCTTGACAGCGCAGCAGATTTGGCCTCTAGGGCATCTAGACATGGGAAGGACATGGCAGGGTTAGACGAATCATGTTGGTTTCCGCCCTGAGGCTTCGACTGGGAGACGGTAGCCTGAGAACTGAGAGACTGCCTGGTGTGATGGATTGCCCGCTGGTGGATCAACGGCACGGCAATGCTGCGGCGGCATGCGACTGTGGAAGCAGTATCCCGGCAGCTGTGAGCCAGACATCTTCCGGAAAATGCCTGCGCCGCACTTCTGGCTGCTTGCTGAACGGCACCCATCTTCTCTAATATCATCTTCAATCTGGTTGCAGTACAAAGTGAGAAGTTTCAATGTCCATCTTCGCTTGTCTCGCTTGTCCGTCCTTCTTTGCTCCATCGTCGAACTAGCTGGCTCCGAGGGCGCTTACAAATCTTGGACCTCGGCTCTTGCGTCATCTTGGCGCTTATCTATTGGTGAAATCTTGATTATTCCCTGGGCCAATGAAGAAGGACTTGACGGATACTTTGGTATTTTGAAGTAATATTATTCGTTAGCGACACTTTATTAAGCCAATTATAAATGAAATTAACCCTTTGGGAAGCATAGAGACTGGAGCTAATTGGTTCTGGAAATGAGCATTCTTTTTCTTGCCAATAGAAATAGCATATTGTACTCAAAATAATAATTTGGCCAATAGTACTTTACTCATTTCCAGCAAATTGTGAGCATGGAATTGATGGCTAATACAGCCATTTCACAACTGGGGGCTTTATACGAGCATGTCGAATTTCTACGACAACGACAACCAGCTCAAGCCAGCGGTTTTGAGAGCGAGATGTACTGACCAGAAGGTGTCCCAAGATACTTTGCTATCTGTTAATAACTTTACCTGCGGCGGTACCTCACTCCAAACTGGCACTATGGGCATCCTGGACCATGACCCCAGCTGAGATTTGGTGAATATCCTAGTTGATCTGATGAACATGACCATGCCTCTGGGAATACCGCCCCATTTATATAAGGTGCATCTCAGTATACCCATCTATTTACATAAACCACTCTAGTCATGGCTGAGAGAAGATTGACGGTAGGGGGAAGCCTGTGCGGACAAAAGGGCAGATCATACAGTGATATAAGCATCCAGATGCCCACCATGGATAACCTCCTTGCTCAAACTGCCCCATGGATATCCGTTTCAGTTACCCCATGGGCACCGACGTCATTGCTGTTGATGCTGCCGGGGAGTTGATTTTGGATCGGCCATCAAGCAAGAGCTTCCTGGCCTCTCGATCGAGATGGTGGGCCACAGAAGCCGCTGTTTACAGATCTTATCGACAACGATGCACATACCGGATTATTAGTAAGAATAACGAAGCTATGCATGATTGCACGGTACTCAATTATGCAGCCTGGCAAACCCCAATGTTTCCAAGTCTTCCGCTGCATATTCCCGCGCCCGGTATTATGATCTGGACGGCGTATGTTGGGCATTCGATATCGTCATGTAGCATGTTCGGGCAAAAATATTGCCAGTGGTTTAATATAGGGGACCGGGGTTGATGCAGTGAGGGAAATGTGCTAATAACCAGGTTTCCCTGATGATAAATGACTGCACTGAAGCTATGATGATCCGATTACTCCGGATATGGCTTCAGGAAAAATGCGTGCATCTTGCTGAAGCAAGCCCCGCAGAAACATCCAGGAGATGGCGGCAGCCAGAGCGGGGAAAGCTCAAAAAGAATATTATTATCATATTTGAGCTCCCGTAACGGATAATCCGTTATGTGTACCAACGTTTCTGACTCTCATGGCAATCGACGGATGTGACGTGAACTAACGACGGCAAGTGGAAGATACACGGTATGACATCCCCTCACTCACCCTTCCTCGTACTGGGCGGGATTCCAATTTCTCTTCAGTCGAACTAAGTATTCTTCCATCAGAAAATAGCGTACTTATGTACTGGAATTCAGCGGGTGATAGCCCAGGATCGGTCCTTTGACCCGAGTGAAGCCAGGAACGCAAGGCGTAATGGGTAGCCGTACTAAACTATATTCGTATTTTGCTCGTCGATCGTCCAGATTTAGTTATTTCGGGAATGAATCCTTGTAACCGCCCTGTTGACGCGACCATTATTTGCCAGGGCCTTTCTTGGGACTTACGTTGGCACTGCTGTCGATCGAAGGGCGGCGCCTGTAACCATTAGATACGAGCAGAAGTTGTATGGAAACTTCTATCCTTCAAAGCGGAGAAACTTCGCAGCCAAGGAGACCCCCCTATCTTTGAGGCAAAGGAGTCCGCCTTCCGTCGCCTCTGGTGGGTACAATATACAGCTAAGTACTCCGTACGTTGGCAGCGTTGCAGCTGTACTACTTATGCCCATGTCCGTGGGCAGGTTACAGGGAGGACAAGTATGTAGCAGATCGACTGGAGGAGGACCTCATGAGAAGTAATCATGGGTGCAGTCCAGAGTACATCCCCCAGATCATATTGGTTAAGCAAGTAACTAGATGACCAGCCAAACAGGTCAGAGGACGTCACTCCGGCAGGAAAAAGCAACGAGCACACCAAGGCCGAACGGTCGGTCGTGCACAGCCTTGAAACTTGACCATCTCGTTTAGTGAAGGGACGGGGCTGGCAACTGGCAACATCTCCAACGCATGCGAAACAGCCTATGTTCCGAGGTAACTGTACACCTCACATCATATTCGTCTTAATAATAGGCTGGCTTCGTGGGCTGGACATGTATATACAGTGCATTATTGAGACAGCTATATGTGCCTGCCATTATAGTTAGGCCTATCTTCGTTATCTCACAAGGGGTCACAAAGAATACACCGTGAAAGCGGCGGATGAGACGAAGCTTGTCATTCACCATTGACTTGATCTGGGAATGATTATCCCATTATCCATACGAGCGCATGTTGAGCCCTTTCTGTGCCGTCTCCTCGTGAAGAAGCCTGTCGTTGCTGTGAAAATCCTCTGCAAGAATGCCCTCCGCAAGATCAAGGATTGATCCCCCCAAGCCTTGATTGACTCAGAGCCTGCAGAGACAAGGACGTCCCTCCTGCGGAATAGGGTGAACCAAATAAATTCTCCTTTGCCTCCACAAGCGTCCCCACCCCTGACAAGCCGGCTTAACAGGGGCGTTAATATTTCCCTTCGAGAACTTTAGCCAGGGCCATGCGCAGGGATGCCAGCCGCGAGGACAACCTTCGACCTCAGGTCAAGAAAAAAAAAGCATCATCATCGTCGTCTCTTCTTTGCGTCGTCATCTTTTGAGAAGAGCTGATCCGCGTTTCAGAACACCCCATACGGTCAGCATCCACTGGCAAAGGCGGGGATACGGGCCTGGGGGGCCTCATTGGATGTTCTCATGTGTTTCTTCTATGAACGCCCATCCCAGTTGATGCACCAAGCAGAAAAGCTTGTGCAACTTTGAGCAAAGGATTGGATCGAATCTTTGCCAGAGTCGCGGATGACATGAATAATAATTAGCCACGGAGCCCATATACGGAGCCAGGTGCGAGCCCGCAGTCCAGAACCACATATTATGGAGCCGGACAGATAGGCGTAACGGGAACTCTGTGCCTGCCCGTGATTAACAGTGGAGGACATGCGACATGAGAGGCCCGTCCGATGGTCAATCCGGTGTTTTCTTCCGCCTGGGATGGCGAGTCTGTTGAACCTGGAGGGACTAGGGGTGCGCAACGAAGCTGGGCCGCTCGAGGATAGAGACGGCGGCAGTGGCCTTCTGACGCTGCTTCACAGCAATAGCCCGGGGCACATATACTCTGCGGGCTGCTGCTCTGGTTCAGAAGGTTGGTCTTGTCTCTCGCGTGTGGCGTGGTTGCTCTCCATCTTTGACCCCATAGCAGGAGATGAAGTTGACGTCGCCGGCCTTGCTGTAGGTAAGTAAGCAAGCTTGCTTTGTCAAGCGTGACCCGGAGATCTCCCTTTCTTCCACCACCAAAACACGCGCCTGATCCTCCTCCTCCCGCTGCTCCCTCTCATCCTCAGCCACGGCCTGCATACATCACGCCCAACCCGCCAGCCTTTTCCCTTCCATTCCTTCCTTTCTTTCATTCTGTCATTCCTTTGCGTCTTCTCTTTCTTTTGTTTGCCTTCTTCTTCTTCTTCTTCTTCTTTTTAACTGTTGTAATTGTGCAGGTCTCTTTTCTAATACCGTATATAGAGTGCAGAGGGGGCCCTTTTTTTTTCACCAACACTAGCTCTATAAACCAGCTCCGGGACAGCTTTCAAACCAACAACATCCAGCTCCTTTGGGCGTCAATGCGGGTTCTCGGCTCAATATAGCCCGGAGCAAACATGATTTCCTTTCGAAAATGCGTGGTCATCGCCTTTTTCATCCTTTCTGGCATCTTCCTGCTGCATACAGCCCACATCAAGCCCACGCTGGCTAAGGCTGAACCGGGGACTCATCGCCAGCGGTCAGAGCCACAGAACGCTCGACTCACTACTAAGCTGGGGTCCAAGGCCGATTCTACATCTGAACAGGAACCTGAACAGGTGTCCGAGCCCGAGCCTGAGAAAGAGCCTGAGCCGGAGCCAACTACACTCCGGGGCCGTCTTAAATACCATTTCCCCTATGGCGTAAAGGCCAAGTTCCCTGGATACATCTGGCAGACATGGAAGTATACGCCTGCAGACGGGGAGTTCGACCCTATGCTACGGCCGTTAGAAGCGAGCTGGACCGAACTGCACCCTGGATTCGTGCACCAGGTCGTGGACGATGAGAGTGCGATCTACTTCTTGAAATACCTCTACAGTTCCTTCCCGGAGATTATCGAAGCATACGAGTCAATGCCCTTGCCGGTTCTCAAGGCTGACTTCTTCCGATACTTGATTCTTCATGCTCGAGGAGGAATATATTCTGATATCGACACCACCGCCCTTCGATCAGCAACAGATTGGATACCATCAACGTTTGACCGGTCAACTTTTGGGTTGGTCGTGGGCATTGAGGCGGACCCAGACCGTGCTGACTGGGCGAAGTGGTATTCTCGCAGGATTCAATTCTGTCAGTGGACCATCCAGTCGAAGCCAGGCCATCCTGTCCTGCGGGACGTCATTGCTAGCATCACGGAGGATGCCCTGCGCATGAAGGAGGAAGGAATTCTCACGAAGAAGGGTATGGACAAATCAATTGTGGAATTCACCGGCCCTGCGGTCTGGACGGACGCTATCTTCAGACATTTCAATGATCCCCTCGCCTTCCCCAGCGAAGATGGCAAGCATCGAAACATCTCTGCGCACCATTTCACTGGCATGACGAAGCAGAAGCAAGTAGGCGATGTTGTCGTTCTACCAATCACGAGCTTCAGTCCTGGTGTCCAGCAGATGGGTTCTGAAGAAGCAGACAGCGACATGGCTTTTGTTCAGCACGAGTTTTCAGGTATGTCCACATACGTACATTAAAAATCTCACCACTACCCGACGGCCGAACTTATCTAACTGTTACCCATAATGTAGGAACCTGGAAGTCCGCTGAAGACAGAAGAATCGGACACTGGTAATTTTTACTACCCGGCAATATCTTCTTCTTCTTTTTTTTCGTCTCTAATACCGCCGTTGAACGACCGCTTTACGACCTTCTCTTACAGCCAAAATCCCTTTAAAGAGGGGGACCTTTATTTCTAAGATTAGTGATTCCCGCTGAGGTCGCCAGACTCCATCAGCCCGTTTCTTTTTCGACTCACTCTCGTTACTTGCATTTGATACCATTTCATTCGTTCTACTCTCAGTCCTCGCTCGCTATATTCCCACTCTCGGCGACAACGAGAAGCGGCATACCCCTCGTACAACCAGAGCAGGCACTCTTGTTTATTTTCCCTAGTTGACCTGCATTTCTCTTCTTTGTCAATATTTATCTACTTTTTTTTTTTTTTTTTTTTTTTNNNNACCGGCACTCGGGCGGCATTACCACAGTACATAGATTTTTCAACCCGTTTAGACTCCGCCTACACTATCTAGTTTACTAGGCGTTGAGAGGGAGAACAAAATGCGAGGCATATTATTCTGTTAACTACAATATCCAAGTACTCAGTCAAGATATATATATGTAGTATTTTTAAGTAAATAAATGGTAGGATAAATATGTAACTGCGAATGGTATATAGATAAAAAAATATAGGCGGTAAGGCAGTTGTGAACCGTCACCCGGAGGAAAGATAGCCGGAGCGTTTTCGTGACAGCCCTAAGAGTCACCGTCGTATATAAAGTTGGACAAAAAGAGAGGTACAACAGAGGTAGTGCCAGGAGGTTGTAGTGGTAGTAGATGATTTAACAATGTCGAATGCTGATGCCATATTGAAGTCGCATTGCGCGTGGCATAGTTTGCGCTTAGTGCAATTAGATTGATTAGTTAGGTGTGAGCGAGCCCAAAGAAAAACTCACACAAGGAAGCCCAACCGTCAAGGTTGCCCCCCAAAAAATTATTGTATTCCCGTCCAAGGGCTCGCTTAAAAGTCCTGGAATATCTCTTCATACCGTGCCTTCATCTCATCGGTATACACCGCCTGTGTGGCTGGGTCCGGAGGGTCCGGATACTCTTCGAAATTCGCCGTATCTGCAGGATGGCTCACCTGCGGCACAATTGGCCCCTTAACCCGCTTGCGGTATAAGTCGTCCCAATCGATGCCTTCAAAGAACGGATGGTCCCTAACCCGCTGGCTGCCTCCGGATATATGGCCCAGTCGTTCGGACGGATTGACCTTGCAAAGAGCACTAATTATATCCTTAGCTGAGGCAGGCATGTTCGCGGGAAAACGGATGCATCCTGCAACTATCTTTTCGTATATCCCCATTGGGTTTGAGTCCCAGAAGGGCGGTTGACCGACTATAAACTCGTAGATGAGGATTCCCAGGGCCCACCAGTCAACTGCAAGGCCATGGCCGCTGTTATGTATGACTTCAGGAGCAAGGTATTCCGGTGTGCCGCAGAGGGTGTAGGTCTCGAGGTTATATAGCTGTTTTGCGAAGCCAAAGTCGACTAGTTTGAGATGGCCTTCCTGGTCGAGGAGGATGTTTTCGGGCTTGAGGTCGCGGTAGGCTATTCCATGCATGTCATGCAGGTACCCGATCACTAATGTTATTTCAGCGGCGTAGAATTTAGAAGTGTATTCGTCGAATCTGCGGGCTCGTCGGAGGAAGCTGAATATTTCGCCGCCAGGGCAGTATTCAAGCTAGGCATGGTTAGTCGGGGAGTCCGTACAACATAGGCTAAAAAGGGAAAGGTACGAGGTATGATAGGTCCATACCAGCATATAGAGGCATTGTTCATCCGAAAAGGTGGTGATTAGCGTCGTTATAAAAGGATGACCGGCAGCCTTGGAGAGGCACTTGCTTTCGTTTCGTACATGTTCGACTTGTTTCAGCTTTATTACTGCAGGCGAGAAAGAAATCCTCCGTTAGACAATGGCTCACCGCTTCTTAAGTAGTTGGGGGAGGGATCGGGTAGTCTACCTTCGGCTTTCCTGAGTATCTTCAGAGCAAAGATGTTCTTGTTGGGTTCTTTGGCAGCCTTTAACCTGGCAAACCATACCCGAGCAAAGGTGCCTGTTACATGTTAGTAGCGTCCGACATAAATTCAAGAACGTAGACTGGCACGTACCCGTCCCAAGGGTCTTGATGAGATCAAAGTCGTCAATTGTAAGTCCGTTATCGGGCAAACCGGCATCCTGCTTCAGCCGGGCTTGAACAACGTCCTTGGGCGTCCTAGGCCGCGATGCCGGCCATGAGAGACGGTCCGGCTTGACCTCAGCCTCTACATGGTCATGCTCCAGTACCTGCTGCTGCTGCTGCTGCTGCTGCTCCTTCGCATGTGCTATGTCAGGCAACAGCTGTTTTATCATCTTTGTTGTTGCCATCACAAAGAGATGCGTTTCCTTTCCCCCGCCTTCAGTTGTAGTTGTGGTGTATTTCGTATATATCCAAGCAGACAGTAACTCTGTGGTTTGGTATTTCCCGAGCAAATTCCTTCTCTTATCTGTCTGCTCTCCTTTTTTTCACGTCGCCATGCCGACACGATGGACGCCTAAGAAGGAGACCAAGCCCAGCGAAACCGGTTCGGAGATTTCGGCGTAGAGCGATACTTGGGTGACGTAGTCAGTTGCAGCTTGTTCAGCGGGCATTGAGGGCGCAAACGAGGTAAGCTGACGGGCGCGACAATCGCCATTGATGTCTGGAAGCGTCCGCAGGCCGAAGGAGAAGCACACGAGACATCGCCGTCCTGGGGGCTTTTTCTGTTTCGTTTCGTCTTCAGGCAAGCTAAAACGAAGCGGAAAAGCTCTGGCGGCGGAACTTGCGACTTTCTCTGACGTAATAGGAGATTAGTCATGGCTTAGTCAGGTATCATGGACAGGGAAGAGCAGGGCGGGAGAGAGGAGGAAGAAAGGAGGACGGCAGGGGGAGGCGGAAGAGGAAGCGGGAAGTGGAAGTGGACAAGAGACGATGATATTAGTTATTGGTAGAGTACATGCAGAGCGCAGGAAGCAGGTCTAGAGCAAGAGAGAATGGTAAGAACATCCCGAAACAACCCGATGCCTGGCTAGGTAGGCAGGTTGGGGCGCGATGCTGGAGTATATACAGCAAAGGGACACCTCGGAGAGCATGCTGTCTGCTGGAGATAGCAGGATATAGCAGATAGTAGGTGGTAAGTGGTAAGTGGCAGATGGCAGATGAGATGGTAAATAAACGGAGAAAGCAGAAGAGTCCATCAAACGACAGCAAAGTTCACAAGAAATGAAGCACGTCTATGCAGAACTCTTCGAGTTTAGAATCAGACCAACAATCAAACTATCCAGAGAGTTAGCACACAGGCCATCGACAAAGGTGGGTAATGGCAGACATACCCATATAGACCCAGGACTTCACCAAAAATCAATATCAAGACCATTCCTACAAACACCTTGGACTGTTGCATATACGCGCGTGTTCCCTATGTGTGTTCCTTTTTTAGTACAGGATCAAGCAGAGCTATAGTGGCACAACTTACAGCTTCACCGACGATTCCAATAGTGTAACCGGCAGCCAGGCCTGCAAGGCCAACTGAGAGACCAGCCGCGAGATGTAAGCATCCCCTACCACCTAGTCAGTAGCCGTCCAGTCGTTTCTGTCCCAAGGTATTATAAGTTCCACATACGCATATAAACTATACTGCGTCTCTGGTGGTGGCCCCAGATCTCCTGCAATCAGAACGGCAACGACGAGTCCGTACACGGCGATGATACCGGCCATGACAACGGGTATCAGCGACTATAGGGTGAAGCCAGGTTAACAAAGTGTCCCTTCACACAAGCCAAAGGGGTAAGATGTGGTAACATGCCTTCATAATCAAATCAGGTCTGAATGTTCCGACACCCGCAATACCAATTTCGGCCTTTGCTGTGCCATATGCCGCTCCTACACCTGGAAAGGGTAACATTGTCAGTATAAGGAGATTCCTATATTCCCATTGTCCGCAGGAAGGTCAAACGTACATCCAAAGATTATCTAGTAACGCATCTATCAGCAACGCCCTTTGATAAGTTGTTATCGTAGATAGATACTTACAGCAGAAGCTATACCGGCCTGGTTCGAAGATGATAAGAGGTTAGTAGTCCATGACTTTCAAGCCCGGCCATCCAACAGCAACAGGGAACTAGAACTAACCATCCCGATAAAGGGGGCAAACTTGGGAGCAAGCTCGCTCTCTGCCATTGTGTCTGCAGCTCCTGGCTGTATCTTGTTCGCGATCGAAGGCGGTCCTCTCACCCACCGTCTGGGATGATGAGTTCCGGTAGGCAGCTGTAGTAGCTCTTGTTTATCGTCAGCGAGTCTGCTTCGTGTTCGTCCTCGTCTGCTCTGCTCTGCTCTGATCTCTCGCTGGACAGGGTGCCTTTCTATCTCGCAATGAAGTGTCCGCTGGCTCGTTCTCCTGCGGTCTCTTTCCTAGCTTTCTCAGATCTTGTTTATCTCTCCTCGTCGTCTTTTGGATGTTCGAAAGATTGAGATTCAAGACCCAATCAGGATCCAGGTCACGTGAATACACTAAATACAGCCGCCGTACAGCCGCAAGGGACGCAGCACACGCTTGTGCATTCACTGTGCCTTCACTTGGATTTATTTTTTTTAGGCTGCTGGGGCATCTTCGCTGCCGCTGCTACTTCCTCGCCTCCTGGCGGCTGAACAATTATCTGCCGCAGAACCCGCTGCGTCGGCACATCGGGGGCGTCCTGTACTATAAGTTACCGCAAATACCGGGCTAAACCCCTTTCGGCTGCCTGCTTCGTGAGGTCAAGGTCGAACATCCAAAAAGACGAAGAAGAAACATCTTCAACTCGCGGCTCAACGACATCTTCGTCTGCCTCCTTCGTGCACGCTGCTCGACCATCAGAGCTACTCCGTCGACGTCTTCACCTCCGCTCACAGCTTGCTGCTGGCCCGGCATTGTCCTCCTGCACCGGGACCTCCGAGTTTTCCTCTGTCTGGAGGGCATTGAGGGGATCCCTATCTAACTCCCCCAGCAAAAGACACGCAGCTTTTGCTCCCCTGCCGAAGCCATCGCCCTGCTGTCCTCAGTAAAGAGCGCTTGTCTTGCTCCTCTTTGCTGGATAGAGCTCGCGTGGACGTTCTCCTTTTGCGTCGTCTTGTCGCTCGGTCACCGTTTGACTTGCGTGGTTGAGCTACTCGGAGAATGAAGGGGAGCTGACCACCACAAACTCGCAGTCACTCTTCTTCTCTCTTTTTTGCTTTTTCTTTTTCTTTTTTGGCCTCCAATTTGGATGTTACTACGAAGCGAATAAGTTGACAGGCCTTCCTACCGACAGACTCGGCAGTACTCAAATCACACCGAATACGTCAAACCCGAACCCCAGCTTTTATATCCGAGGGCTATTTCATACTTACATAAGAGGCGTGTGTGCGTGTGAGCCTGTGTGTGAGAGAGAGGCATATCTACCATGGCGGATCTGGGAGCCCAGCAAGGACGAGGTTACCGGCCTGGAGCCTCTCGTGGCCCTGCTTCTTCTTCCTTCCAGCGAGATGCTGCATTCTCAGAAATTTTCGGAGGAACGCCGCCCCCAGGCAGGTCTCAGACGATGACATCGCACTCTCCGCAATTTAACCAGGAACGCGCCCATACAATGACCTCTCACCAGTCAGACCCGTACGCCCAATCTCGAGGGCCGCCTCCTCCTATGCGACAGTCTCGTGGGGGATACCCGCCGAATCCGCAGGCGGGATATCAAAACTCTCAATGGCAACAACCTAACGGCTCGGGTCCTCCCCCACAACAACGCGCACCGCCACCTCCCCATCATCAACAACGTCCTATGCCGCCTCAGAACCCGCAGCAATACCCTCCTGGTATGCAGCAACGGCCTTACCCTGGTCGGCCTCAGTACCCTCACCCTCAACGACTAGACTCCCGCCCAGGACCCATGCCTCCTCAGTTCCAACAGCAAAATCCGCACGGACGCCCCTTGCCTCCTCCAGCTCTCAACTCAGATCAATATCGGTCCCGTTCAATGGCTAGACTAGGAGGGCCTCCTTCATACCAATCGCCGCAGTCACAGTTCCCCCCGACCCCTGTCAATGCTTTCCGCCAACCGTCGTACCATTCAATGGGTTCTAGAACCGCACAGGGCCGTATCGTTCCAGAAAGGCACGATAACGAACGAGCCATGTCGATGAGTTCTTACTCGGCAGACCGCGACCACGCCCAAACCATCAGTTCCGGAAGAGTTGTACCGAATAGGAGACGAGAGTCGGGTCTAGAACGGGAACGGGCTGGAGGTATGGACCGCCATTATTCAGAATCACCAGTATCAATACAACCCACCATAGATGAGCCACTGGTTCCCTCGCACTCTGGACATCATGTGCTACCCTCACAGCAAGATCTACAATTGCGAGTGCGACATCCCAGTGAAAGCTCTGTTAATTCACGTACTTTATCCATGGCATCAACCATCGCTCCTGAACGCAACAACAGTTTGCAAAAACCTGTCGCCGCCAAATCCCCTAATTCCTCCATGGCTGGAGCGCCTCCACCAAACAACGTGCACCGCAGAACGCCGCTCGCCTACCCAGCTCTCCTATCTCGAGTAGCTGCTGTCTTTAGAGAGCGGATTGCTGTTGGCGAGCGTATTAAAAACGACCTAGCCTACACTAACGCCTTTACAGGCGCAGAGGCTGTTGACTTGATATCCTACATTATTAAGACAACAGACCGCAACCTAGCTCTCCTTCTTGGTCGGGCTCTAGATGCTCAAAAACTCTTCCATGATGTCACGTATGACCATCGATTACGAGATGCTCCAGGTGAACTCTATCAGTTTAGGGAAACCCTGGGTGAAGAGTCACCTGTAAACGATGTCAACGGAGTATTTACGCTCTTGACTGAGTGTTATTCTCCTACTTGTACCAGAGACCAACTTTGTTATTCGATTGCTTGCCCGCGACGGTTGGAGCAACAAGCAAGGTTGAACCTCAAGCCACAGCCGGGACTGAGACCATCTGCCTCCAAGGGAAGTCTTCATGACCATGAGGACAATGACGATCAGAAACTTTGGATCAACATGGTACCCAAGGAAGTAGCCGACAGTCTTGAGGACCGTGAGAAGAAGCGACAAGAAATCATCTTCGAGATGATGTATACCGAACGTGACTTCGTTAAGGACTTGGAATACTTGAGAGACTTCTGGATGCGCCCTCTACGATCTCCCAACAACCCTAGCCTTTCCCCTATCCCTGAGCATCGCCGAGAGAAGTTTATCCGAACTGTGTTTGGTAACTGTCTGGAGGTTTTGAGCGTCAACTCTAAATTAAGTGAAGCGCTCAACGCCCGACAAAAGGAAACCCCCGTTGTGAAAACCATCGGTGATATTTTTCTTCAATTCGTCCCTAGATTCGATCCCTTCATTAGATACGGCGCAAACCAGCTTCACGGAAAGTATGAATTTGAAAAGGAGAGGTCCTCGAACCCTGCGTTTGCCAAATTCGTTGAGGAGACAGAGCGCCTGAAGGAGTCTCGAAAACTCGAACTGAACGGTTACCTTACCAAACCCACCACCCGATTGGCGAGATATCCACTTCTTCTTGAAGGTGTGGCTAAATACACTGCCGACGATAGCCCGGATAAGGAGGATATCCCCAAGGCCATTGTTCTTATTCGAGACTTCCTTTCTCGAGTGAACACAGAGAGTGGAAAAGCAGAGAACCACTTCAACCTTGTGCAACTGAATTCTGCTTTGAAATTCACCCCGGGCGATTACGTTGATCTGAAGCTTACTGAGGAGAACCGAGTGATGTTGATCAAGATGGCATTCAAGAAGGGTCCAACCGACTCTGCAGAAGTTACAGCCTACCTGTTTGACCACTCTGTCCTCCTTGTTCGCATAAAACCTGTGAATAAACGAGAAGAGTATAGGGTATATCGGAAGCCTATCCCGCTTGAGCTTCTCGTCATAACCCAAATGGAAGAAGTGCTACCTAAACTTGGCATTCATAAACGTCCTACTGCCGGTGGCCTGATTCCAGGAACCAGAACAGCCAGCGCTACTCCAGCTTCGTCCAAGGAAGGGCTGCCTGTTACCTTCCGTCACTTAGGTAAAGGGGGTTATGAGATAACTTTACACGCAACCTCCCAAACTCAGCGGAAACGGTTCATCGAATTGGTCGAAGAGCAAAAGAGAAAACTGCGGGAGCGAAATAGTAACTTCTATTCCAAGACCATCCTTTGCGAGGGCTTCTTTAGCGCTGTCAATAGAATCAACTGTTTGGTTCCAATTGGTACGTACCTGTGTTCGCTTTTCTCATGGATTTACGTTAGGCTTCCACTAACATGACAACTATGCAGATGGTGGCCGCAAGCTTGTATATGGAACTGATAATGGTATCTATGTGTCTGAACGCTGGCCAAAAGACAAATCTGCAACTCCAAAGCGTGTCCTTGAAGCCAATGCGGTAACCCAGATTGATACCTTGGAAGAATACCAGCTGCTGCTTGTTCTTGCCAACAAGACACTTAGCTCTTACCCGCTTGAGGCGTTAGATACAAGCGATAACCAGAGCGCCATGGTCCGGCGGCCCAAAAAGATTCAGGGTCACGCTAATTTCTTCAAATCTGGTATTGGTCTCGGAAGACACCTGGTGTGCTCCGTGAAGACCTCGACTTTATCAACGACCATAAAAGTCTTCGAGCCTATGGAGAATTTGGCCAAGGGCAAGAAGAAACCCCTCAGCAAGATGTTCCAGACCGGTCAGGATGCTTTGAAACCCTTTAAGGTACTTAATCCTGATTATTTCCTCATTGCCTCCAATACAATCGCTAACTAATCTATTTCAGGAATTTTACATCCCCGCTGAATCATCTTCGGTTCATTTCTTACGCTCAACTCTCTGTGTCGGTTGTTCTCGTGGCTTCGAAGTGGTCAGTCTAGAAACCACTGAGAGACAATCCCTCCTCGACCAAGCAGACACGTCGCTGGATTTCGTTGCAAGAAAAGAAAACGTGAAGCCCATCCACATCGAACGACTAAACGGTGAATTCTTGCTCAATTACTCTGACTTCTCCTTCTTCGTCAACCGTAACGGATGGCGAGCCCGTCCAGACTGGCGAATTGCCTGGGAAGGCAACCCTACTGCATTCGCCCTATCTTATCCATACATCCTAGCATTTGAGCCCAGCTTCATTGAAATCCGGCATCTTGAAACCAGTGAATTGGTACACGTTATGACAGGACGAAATATTCGTATGCTGCATTCTTCTACTCGAGAGGTTTGTCTCACTCTATCCTTTCATCTACCACGACTTTAGTCAAATCTTTACTAACCAGCCTGTCACAGATAATCTATGCCTACGAAGATGAAAATGGAGAAGATGTCGTCACCAGCCTTGACTTTTGGAACAAACCAGCATAAACGAGAAAAACAGGATTGCAAATACACCAAGGAATAACGAAAAACAACACATAATCAACACCATGGGAGTAACGGGATATCTTCGTCCAGCTTCTTTCCATCTTTTTGAGAGCATTTGAAGCTACTTACTGCCTTTTCTTCAACTTGTCCTATACGGCGTTCAAATTTTCCAAATCCTCGAGCGTTTATGCACCTGCCTTCTAATCCTTAGCCGGCCCATTCTCACCCATGAGCAGAATGGGCATAATGCCTGATGTCACTCCTCCGTTCGCACCTCCTCCTGTTTCTGATGATGATGCCACCCTAACCACGACAAAATCCAAAACCATACCATATACCTCCTACTACCTCGATGAAAAAGCCTTTCCCATCCATGTCTCTGACCTTCTATACCATGTCCGCTAGCCTCCTAACCACTACTACCTCCAGGCGTGCACCAACCATTAATTCATCCCAACTACTTACATAGGTTATCGTATCAACCTGGCGCCGTCTTCTTCTCCTCTTCTACTGTATTTTTTCTTCCTCTCCATCCCGCTTCATTCTCACGTCTTCGACTTTCTTCTATATTTGAAATATTTTAATTACATATCTACCTACTTTCCCCCTCTTCTTCTCTTGATTTCTTTTATGTTAGTTTCTTTTATTCTCTTTACTTTTCTTCTTTTCTTCATTTCACTTCTCTTCACATACGGAATGATTCGCGAATGTTCTCATAAGGCTCGTCATGCAACTCTTGAGATACCCCTTCTCTTCTGGCAAGCAGTCAATCAATCAATCAAACTAGCAAGTTGTGGATAGGATTTTGATGCTCTCCCTATCATGTCTGTTTCCTCATTGTCCGTAGCTTCCTTGCTTCTACCTACGTATGTTAATTAGATTGTATAGATTAGCTAGTTAGTTTGTTATCATATTCTCAATGTTTTTTTTTTCACTTTGCCTCCTTGCTCCTCAGCTTTGCGACGTAGGTAGTACATGAATCGTGGCAACGGGATTCGGACCAACAGCAACGAACGACAACGGGTTCAAACTGCTATTAGAGTCGTACAGAAAAAGCCATGTTTAGAATCCAGCTGAAACGACACGGATTGATATCGGAAGCGAAACGGGCTTGCTCATGCGTGGGAGAAAGAAAAAAAAAATTTAATCTCCTCTCCTGCACTTTACGTGGCCAGGATGCGCCTGGTCAATTCAGAATCAGGCCAGCAGACTGTACAACAAGTTGGAAGGGGAGCATAGGATTAAATAACCATTAATTAAATACTCTTCTTGTTCTTTAAAATAGTAAGAGGTCAAAGAAAAACACGCGCGGTAACCGGGTATGGAAGAATGGCGGGCGGTGGTTGCATCAGGAGAAATAATAGAGGGCATAAGATAAAATAAAGGGGCGACGGGCTGGATAGGGGGGGTACCCCGACTTGGCAAGTTGGGAGGAGTGCTGAAGTTCAAGCAAAGCAAGATAGGGACGTAATAGCCGAGGAAAGGTAAGTAAGAAACTGCAGATAGGAACACAAGGAGAGAAGCGAAAGGGTGCCAGGGGGAGAAAAAAAAAGGAAAAGTGAAAGCTAGGGAGTGGAGGTTGGTTAGGATTTGAGGTATACATGAGGATAAAACGAAGAAGGCATGTAAAAAAATGAGCGACAACAGGGAAATGTGCACTCTAATGGCTGGTGTAAAAAGGCGAGTCTCCCTCTCCAAGCATGACATTTACTTCCCATTATTCTTTTATATCCCCTCAGCTCGCACAACTTTGGGATCATTCCTCCTTTTTGCGCACTCCGTGTATGAGAGTGTGCGACCCCCATTCCGAATATCAAAAAAGAAAAACGTTCTAACCGCAGTATCAAACGGCGCAAGTATCAGCTATTTACTTCCTCCTAGCTGCTTAGCTTCGTATCTTGGCAGGAAGTTTTGCTTATGCCGCGTCTCCGTTAGGATCCTGGCTCTGCTGGGCAGCTTGTTCACGCTGCATGCGGGCTTCGATTTCTCTCAGCTGGCTCTCACGGGCCAGAAGCTCCTGTCGTTTCTCGTTAATCTCACGCTGCACCTTGAGCTCGATTTCACGCAGCTTCTCTTCTTCTCGGCGGAGCTGTTCTTCCTTGAGGCGGACAGACTGGGAAGCCAAGTCTTCAGGGTTCATGGTAGAGTCATGAGAACTAAAATTAAAATGTCATTAGCATAAGGGCCAAGCAACAACCAGTAAAGTATATAAGGAAAGTGTGGGAAACATACGCAGAAGCACCTCCTTCGACGCTCTTACTGAGCTTCTCGGTACGGTAGTTTTCGTACAGGAAGTCATGGGTGATTTCCTTGAGATCGGCCAAATGACTGTGGAGGAGAGCACTGCGGACAGCCAGGAAGTCGGAGTGGCGCTGGTTCTCGACCTCTACAACACCCCACGGGTACTGTCTGGCCCGTACCTTGCGACCACCGATCTCAAGAACGTCCTCGGAACCAACGATGGCGAAGGGCATGAGTGACCGGTATTCCTCGTTCTCTTGCACGGTGTCTTCGTCATCTTCTTCAATGTCGTATGGGAAGTTGTAGACGGGGATACGGTAATGTTCGATATCCTCCATGATAAGCTTCTTTGACTCCGCAAGCTCAGCCGGTGTGAAAGAGTCGGCCTTGCCGATGACGGGGATAACGTTGACACGTGGGGAGAGGCGCTTCATGAGCTCAATGTCAAGCTCTCGGAGGCCGTGGCCAGTTGGTGTGATGAAGTAAAGCAGAGCGTGGACACGGTTGTCACGGAATCTAGGGTTACGCTTGATTCTTGACTCCTCAGCCAAAATGTCATCATATTGGCGTTCGAGGTATCCAACGATTTCCGAGAAGCTAGCCGGTGTTAGTTGTTTGCATGTAATCACTGTAAAAGAATGGACTGCTATACCTTTCTTCGTTGTTGATCTGGTCACCGAATCCGGGGGTGTCGACAATGGTGAGAGAAATGCGAGTACCCTCCTCGTCGAGTTCTAGCTCTATTTTCAAATTGAGTCAGCATCCTGTCAAGCCGCCATCGTAGTTTTGGGTATCCATACCAACAGTAACTGGTTTTATGCGAACGCCCTCCTCGAGGTGAGCGGTCTGGGCGTCATCGGCGTCTTTCCCCTGAAGGACCTGCTTGCCGCATAGAGTGTTGACGAAGGTGGTGCGACCTGTAGCCATTGGCATCAGCTAAGAGCTCATAGCGGCGATTATAATCAATGGCAATGACAAGACGTACCAGTTCCGCTCGCACCACAGACCATCAAACTAAATTGAATGCCCTTCTTGACATTCTTCTTCTTACGGATTCTGATCTATTGCCCGCCGGGTCAGCAAAAATCTCACACTTTCAGCCATAGAGGGTCCAGTATACACGCATAAGAGGCCCGTATGGACCGGACTCAGCGCAAGGATACCGTGGAGAAAAAGGGCACGTACGTTGTTTGGGGCTGACATGGTGATGGACTCGGGGGTTTGAGGTATTGATAGGCAGTTGTCCCTTGGTGGCCTGGAGAAGCAAGAGTCTTAAGAAGGGATCCGGGAGCTGAGCTGAAGAAGGCGAGCAGCAGGCAGACAGTCACCGGCGCAGGAGAAAGAAGCGGACGCAAGAGACAGCGCTGGATGTTGGTCTCGTCGTTCAGCAGGGGGAGAAGCGAGTGTCTTTCTTGGGCGTTGAGGCAGGAGTAAAAGAGGTAAATTAACAAACTGCGGCCAAGGGCAACTTTAGGGGGTTGAATCACGTGGAGTTACCGTACCGTCACCCACCGTATCGGCAAGTACACTGTCTGCGGGTGTACTGTAACTTTGGCTAATATCGCACATTTCCATTGGCCAGAAAGGAATCTTCATACGCTATCAATACAGCCCCTGTGCGTAATCTCCATACGTCGCCTGTGCACCACTACTAGAGATTACGGGCGTTTGTATTTTCGGTAATTTTCTTTTTTTTTTTCCTTGCCCCTTTTTCCGCCCCTATTTTTTTTTTTTTTTTCTACTCACATGGAGACAAGAGTGAAGCCACGGGCGGTTTGCTAGTTGGGCCGCTGGGTAGAAGCGATGGCGGGGAGACGGAATCACCCTCCAACGATGGGCTGGTTTGCGCCCGCAAGTGACGGAAAGAGCTGAGAAGCAGCAGAAGGACGCTGGGTGACCCTGTCATGTGACCCGGCGATGGCCTTACTGATGGCGTTTTATGTTTGGTTCAAAGTGAACGATGATGTTATATAAAATATATTTATTTGCCTTAAGACCCCCCAAACATTCAGCAACCTCAGTCTGTGAATAAGATAGTTCACTTGAGCGCCAGTGACTAGGATTTCAACGCGCAGGAAGGTTGTTGGGTGGGTGTATAGCTTTTGGAGGCGGTTCTTTGATCGGTTTGTAGCTTGGTAGCTGGGGTCGACCAAACCAACAACCATGAATACAAGAGAGATGATCGATACCTCTGGGGGCCCGGTGTCGTTGACGGCCTCATTCAACAGTGACAGCAGCTGTTTCTCCGTTGGACTGAACTCCGGGTTCTGCGGTAAGCTGGTCTTGTTGTTCTATGCACGTTAGAAGGCTGTAGGTAAACATAGACTAACATGCCCCGTATAGTATTCAACTCGGATCCCTGCGAGCTCAAGGTATCCAGAGGTAGGGCCTCTTGACACTGTCTCTAACGGTGAATGATTTACTCATAATATTCTCAGACTTCAACGCGGGAGTGGGCATAGTTGAGATGGTTGGACAGTCCAACTACCTGGCCCTCGTTGGGGGAGGCCACACCCCCAAGTTCCCCCAAAACAAGGTATCTACATCTTTGCTTTGTTCTCTATGTTTGAATACTCACTTCCAGTAGGTAATAATATGGGATGATGCAAAACAAGTCGCTGCCATGACTCTTGAATTTCGCACCTCGATTCTGCGAGTGCGCATCACAAAGTCTCGCATAGCTGTTGCTCTTTATGACTGTGTCCATCTCTACGCCTTTTCAGTCCCACCTAAGAAGATAGCAGTCTACGAGACTGGAGAGAACCCACATGGCCTTGTCTGCCTTGGAGAGACACATATTGCTGTCCCCGGCCGATCCGCAGGACAGGTTCAATTGATCAAATTAGATACAGGGAACGTTAGCATTCTTCCGGCTCATACATCACCCCTGAGCGCAATGACGTTCAGCGGTGATGGAGCGGTGCTCGCCACCGCCAGTCAAACAGTATTTATGCCATAGTTACCCATCGCCAAAAATAATATCCGCTAACCCGGCTTACAGGGGACAATTATTAGACTATTCGCTACTAGCAATGGGGCGAAGATGGCTGAGCTTCGAAGAGGTCTTGATCCAGCGGAGATATTCTCTCTAGCAATATCTCCATCGAATACACTTCTTGCCGTCACATCTGATAAGGCAACTCTACACATATTTGATATCCCACATGCCAGAAATGGACAGGAAACAGACGACGCACCGGCAACCGCCCCCCTGGAGGAATCAACAAATCGGGGATGGGGGATAATAAGCAAACTGCCTTTCCTTCCCCGTGTCTTCTCAGACGTCTACTCATTTGCCAGTGCAAGATTTGATATTGGCGAAGAACCACTTGGCTCCAACTACATTCCGCCACCAGGTGCGCCTTCTGAGCGGCCTTCAAAGGGAATAATTGGCTGGACGAGCGATAAATCACTGCTGGTGCTAGGAGCTGGCAAAGCCGGTAGATGGGAACGTTTCGTTCTTCAAGAGGCGAGTGACGGGACCCGGCAGTGTCTTAGAGCTGGGTGGAAACGATATCTCGGAAGCTGAAAGACCGCGCCTTGTTTTGATCCAGCAAATCGAGATTCGCAATTTCGACCCATACTTATACTCGCAGAACAAAGGAAAACATCATCTAACCCAGGCAGACAGTTCCTATTATTTTTGGAACAGGTTTAATCATTGACAGTCATATTCCCAATCGAACCCTACCGCAGAGAACTGAGTCAATGCATTCGCCCGTGGTTCGGCACAAGGGCCTGGCATCCTCCAGCTCTGAGGTTTGGCTGACTCAAACACAAGAACATATTGACTTGCCCTTACGCGTAGATGAATCCACAGAGAAGCGGCGTATTAGGATTTCTTCAGGGGGTAGTCCGCCGTTTGCGAAACTTCGCGTTGTATAATTAGATGTTAATAAGCAAGATAGAGATAATTCAACTCCTATCCCGTCGTTCTCGACGATGTCTTCGTTCGCTTGACCGTTCCCTGGACCCGTCCCTCCTACTCCTATGTGGTGATCGCCTTTCCCTCGACCGCGATCGTTCTTCACTGCGCCTCCTCCTATGATGACGATGGCGACGGGATGTCCTATGGCCATCCCGGCTCCGATCTCGATCTCGATCTTGCCTGCTCGATCTGCTCTTTGCCTTCACCAGCGCCAATGCATTTTCAACTTCTTCCTTCTTCTCCTTTATAAGATACTCCTTCATTGGGTCCTCGTCGTCATGTTCATCCATCAGCTGTTGTAGTTCCACCTCTTCCTTCAATAACGGTCGAGAAGGCCTCCGTTCCTCGGATTCATGACGCCTAGACCTCCGTCGACTACTTTTCTCTGTCTCCTTCTCCTTCTCTGCATCCCGGTCTGACTCCATCACCTCCCCATTCTCATCCACATTCACGAGATTATCTTCCGTTCCTTCGTCATCACGTCTCTTATACCGCACATGGTCCACTCTGAGCACTCTACCTAGCACTGTAGCTCCTCCAAGGTTGTCAACCGCTAGATCTGTACTTCGTTGGTCCTCATATTTAAGAAATGCAAATCCTCGGCTTTTGCCCGTCTCTTTATCTCTAACCAGATTTAAATGCACTGGATTGCCGTATTGTGAGAATATTGTTAATATGTCACCTTCACTGATATCAAACGGAAGGCCTCCGATGTAGATATACGCTGTATCACGGTAATCAGCGTGCCAGGAAGCTTCTGGGGGCCTAAACCGGAGGCAAAACAGCTGTTAGCAATGCTGTCCAGATGCTATAGAATGGAAGTCTTACACTGCATTCTCGAGCTCTTTCTTATTCAGAGCTTCAATCTGACGGATCGCGTTCATGTTAGACCTTCAGTTACACTTCTAAAATTCGGAATAGCAAGACAATAGCAGTTACAATCAGCTTCATCAACCTTCTTCAAACTTGTTGTAGCTTCTCTGCTTCTTTTCTTCTTCGGAAGCTTTTTGCCCAAAATTAAAGGTCACGTGGTTCACCTTGATAAACAACAAAACATCCAAAGACCGCCCAAAACTCCACGTAAGATACTTGAGCTTCGTCTGGCACGATATTGAGAGAAGAGACAAGCCTCCCCGTGCTGACAGAATAACCGGTTGTTAGTTGGTCCCTCGCTGGCTCGAACTTACCGCGTCTTGTGTGTGGCCGCCCCCTGGGGGCATGGATAAACTAGTTAAGGAGAACCAACTCCATCTTCAACTTGAATCCCCGACATCCTAAATATCAGTTCACCAGGACGTCCTTCTCAGCAACTAAAGACCCTCCAGCGATCTCTCCTTAGGCGTCAATTCGGCCTCCTTCTCAATATCCAGAGTACGATTACTCTGCTCCGCCGTTTCACTCCGCAGACTGTCCCTGAAACCCCATTCCCGTTCCTAGCTTAGACACCTGTATACCAGGGCATGGTCGCGCCAGCATGCCTGAACCAGGACAGCGGTTGAGCCAGATCTCAGCTTCAAAGGGAGGGTCCGATGGCCGACCGGCCAGCAAAGATGGGAAAAAGGAGCTTTGGTCATCCATGCTTCACGCTGGAGCGAGTGGGAAGCGGTTACCGGAAAAGACACTGCTAGTCCTTGGTATGTACCGGGAAACTCCTCAGCTTCGTTGATGTTTCTATATATCTTCGAAGTAACCTGGTACGGAATTTGCAGGCCGGATTTAATAATGTGTTATTCCAGGTGGTACCCCAGAGAGTCAACGGGAATTTCTAGCAACATTATCTACCGATCACGCTGAGTCCGGACTACCTGCAGAACGACGAAAGCAAAAAGCACCGCCGATTGCGAACCAGTTTGCGCTCGGATATACATACCAGAACGTTCTCGATGCGGAGCAGGAAGGTAAGAAAGGGGGATTTCCCTCCAACACTTCCTTGATTTGTTGGCTAATTATACGCGCTTGAATCCATAGATATCCTTGCTAGAATTTCAATCTACCTACTTTCAGAACCATCAGCATCTTACGCTCCCCTCCTCCGACCTTTGATCAACCCGAAGACTGTCCCTGAGATGTTGATAGTTTTTCTTCTGGATTGGGAAAACCCTTGGACATGGGTTAGAGAACTGAGAGAATGGGTCCGACTATTGCGCTCAGTTCTCATATCACTGGATGATGAGACGAAAGTTGTTATGGAAGAGGTTATGAGTGACTGGAAGGACCGTAGGAGAGGGTTAGATCCTTCTCACGTCCCAGGATCTGGTCCAGTATCGTCTATACCCCTAGGCCCTGGCGAGTGGGATGAAGGGTTGGGCATTCCTACATGTGTTGTTTGTCAGGGTGTACGTTTATCCCGTCATCAAAGCTGCTTCCGGTGCTAACATGGACTCTACCAAACAGGCTGAGAAGATTGAACAACTAGAAAAAGATCATGGTTGGAGAGAAGAAGAGTTCGACTACATCTTACAGTTTATGCGAACGATACTTCTCAAGCGTATGTCTCCTTTTAATTTACCCGTATACTTCCTGTTGCTGATAATTTCCCCCACCAGATGGATCATCATTAATATATACCACCCGATTCTTGGCCAACTCACTACAAGGTTTGATACAGTCATCACTCGGTATTCATTCACTCCTAAAACGACAATCTCTCAAACATAATGTCATCGACAGAGACAAGATATTAGTTCCTTCAAATTGGGATTCATGGGGTAAGATAAGAATTATCAGGGAAGGTTTCAATATCGAGGGTGTTGGGACTAGTTGGTCCGTTGAGATACAAGGGCCACCAGAATCTCTGAAACGATCCAGCTCAGGCGATGATGGGGAAGCTCAAGAGCGTGAAGACCCAGATTCCGCAGCCAGTGCAGTGGCTATTTATGAACAAACCATCAAGGATCCCAAAGGCGCTGCATCGATATCTCGTGCCAGGCAGTCAGAAGGCAGCCAAATTGAAGTGACAACAGTTGATTCCCAGGCATTCCTGACAGAACAGGTTGAGGTACTTGAACAGCTTAAAGCAGAGGATGAGAAGCAAGAAAGACAGATGCGCAAGGGCGGTGGTGTCATTAAGGACGCAGACATGATGATGGGCATAGATGATACGAGCCGGGTAAATGAGCATATTGGGCCCGTGCAGTTTAATATGGGAGGCATCCAAGTCGATGCCGATGACATGCTACGGAGATTAAAGGTAAGGTTCTTCTTAATATCTTCTTCAGGATATGTTCAACACTACTAATGACCACACCTAGGAGAGAGAAGCTAGCCGTGCATCGGCAAGAAGTGGTTCCGTCTCGCCAACACCTCCGGGCGGACCAACATCTCCCGGCATACCTCCTATCGGTCAAGGTACCGATGGCAAGCTTGGTAATGAAGGGCTAGCTACCTTCTTTGCCGGCCTAATGAAGAAGACTGGTGGTAGTCCAAGGTCTAACGCAACCACTTAGCTTCAATTTTTGCTACCGTTTAAGGTGCACACTGAGGTCATTGTTGTGTCTAACTTATACCTATCATCTACTGGTTAACTTCTCGGTCGTCTTCTTCCAGGCCCTTTCGATACATTGGTTAATATACACTGTCAGCTTCATGCAAACCAACCTAGCTAATTACTTTTCATTTGTTGTGTTACCATTTACTCATTCCCTATCATCTGCTTTGTACGATACCCATTTTCAAGTACACAGATTCAAACTGAGGAATTGAGTGTAACTTAATTTCTCACCGTCGGAGAATATGTTTCATAGTCTTGAGCCTCATCCAGTGCTGCATCGACATACATTGTAATCCTGAACCCGCAGCATGTGCTTAAAATATGTTTTAAGTATACGTAAGTGCCGTTTACAGCTCAACTCCTGCCTCTGGTGCTTCTCTTCAACAGTCAAGAGAAGCTTTCTACTCCTATCCAGAACGCTTCCGCAGCCTCTATTGGCGTGTTAATTCGAGTCATCACTGCCAGCTCAGGGGCAGTTCCCACATCGCAAAGTCAATGCACGCATGGTGTGGGTTCCGGTTCTCTGTGGCAACCAGGACAAGGTACCGGGTCGAGGAACATTTCTATCAAGTAAATCTGATCCATTGGTATACTGGATAGAGGCAAGACTTATATGTTAAATACTGACACACGAGGTAGAAAATTAGAGGAAGAATAAAGCGTGAAGATATTACAATATTTGCATTGCTATTATAAAGACATGACATCAAATGGTCGCGTTAAGCATAAAAGAGTCTAATAGTCGAAGTAAGAGTGAGCCTCATGGTCAACGACCTCAATGGGGCAATCCGAAAGCTTGATGGACTTAGGGTTGCTCTTGTTGATGCCAGACCACTTGTTGACCCATCCGAGGACCTGCTGGTGCCAAACGAGAGAGTTCTCTGGCTTGGTGACCCAATGGGTCTCATCGGGGAAGTTAAGGAAACGGCTGGGAACACCCTTCTCCTGGAGGACGTTGAAGAGACCGACACCCTCAGCGACGGAGAGACGGAAGTCGAAGTCGTTGTGGACGACGAGCTGGGGGGTGGACCACTTGGCGACGAGCTCTGGCTTAGAGCAATCCCAGCGGTCATAGTTCTGGCGAGCCTCGAAGAAGGTTCCGTTGAACTAGAGATAATGGTTAACAGGGAATGTTTTATTTTTTACGTACGAACCATGGAGTGAATACTTACGTCGTGTTCAATGAAGAAGAGCTCGTCAGTTCCGATCTTGGAGGATCCAACGAAGGTACCGTCATGGGAGACGAGGGCCTTGAACTTGCGTCCGAGATCTTGTCCCTGGATCCAGTTGACCATGAAACCACCGAAGGAGGCACCAGCAGCAATACCGTTGTCAGTGTCAATGTACTTGATGTTGTTGTGGACGTGTTCCCAGATCTTGACGAGATCCTTGTATGGAGCACCACCCCAGTCGTTGGTGATGTCGTCGGTCAGCTTCTGGCCGAAACCAGTGCTACCAGTTGGGTTAGGAGCAACGACAACGTATCCCTGGTCAGCCCAGACGCGTGGGTTCCAGCGGGTGCTCCAGCTGTCACCCCAGGAGCCCTGAGGACCACCGTGGATGAGGAATGCAAGTGGGTAGACCTTGTTCTTATCGAAACCGGTTGGCTTGACGATCCAAGAGTGGATCTTGGTGCGGGCACCATCAACCCAGAGAGGTTCAATATCGTTTGGACCAAGACCCTTGAGCTCAGGGTCATGCTCGTTGGCATAGAAGAGCTTGCGGTTAGGGCGGCCGGGAGTAGCAACCTGGAAGAGAGCGTTGGACCAGAGGGAGTTACCGCTGATGAGGACAGACTTGGAGCTGCCGACGAAGTAGAAAGAGCTGACGGAACCGTCGTGCTTGACAACCTCAGGCTTGTGGTTGTCGCGAGCATCAGCTGGGAGGGTGAAGAGCTTTCCGGTAGCATGGTCCTCAGCAGTGACGTAGAGGGTGCGGCCATCAGAAGACCACTTGACAGCCTCGGGAGAACGGTCCCAGTTGCTAGCAATGCGCTGAACTGGCTTGTTAGAGCCAACCTCAGCAATGTGGATGACACGGCGGTCAGACTCGTAGTTCTTGGTTGCCATCTGGAGGTATGCAATTCTCTTGCCGTCTGGAGAGAAGACTGGGCTGGAGGAAGCACCCTCAATGCCCTGTGGAGTGCGAGGACCATTGCGCTTGTTGATGGGCTCAGCGACGCGGGAACCATCGTGTGGAACGAGGAAGATGTAAGAGGTGGTGAGGTTGGCCTTTGGAAGCTCTGGGGCCTTGCTCATGAAGGCGACGGTTTTGCCATCAGAGGAGAGATCGTAGTCACCAGAGCCGCCGAATGGTGGGTAAGGAGACTCAGCGTACTTGACGGGCTGAACGAGGTTCTTGAGCTTGCCATCGAAGCTGTACTTGTCGCCATTCTTGGTGAGAGCACCAGAGAAGACGGCATTGAACTGAGTGCCAACATAGGTATCCCAATGGCGAACGAAAAGACTGTCGTAGATGCGAGCAGAGCTGACAGCCTCCTTAGCGGCGGCCTCGTTGTAGAGGTCACCCTTTGTTGTGGATTGACCGTAACCAACAAAGTTGATCTTGTCTCCGGACTTAGCGAGCTTGAGGCCAGAGAACGCTCCGTTGACGGAACCGGCCTTGTAGCTGTTGCAATTGTAAGTAATTGAACCCTTGTCCGTAGTTATGGACCGTTATGGACGGGATCATGGATGTACTCACGCATTGCCGAAGTTCTTGGCATCAGAGATCCAGATACCAACACCCCCCTTGACGGAGTCGGTTCCGTTAACGTAGACGACCTTGGTGCCATCTCCGAGCCAGGTGATCTCAGAGACATCACTGTCGGTAGTAAGAACGCTGATGTCACCGTTCTTGAGGTTCAAGAGGTTCCAGCCGGATGGGCGGTCCTTCTTGTCGAAGTTGTACTTGGAGACATGGAAGACGGCGAGCTCCTACATAGTTTCAGCACAAGTCAGTTGAGCCTCCGGGAGTATCTATGGATTGATGTGTCAACTTACACCCTTGGGGTCTGGGATGGCCTCTCCTCTTCGTGGAGCAGAGATGAAGTCCCTGCAAAGATGTCAATATCCAGTCTCGTCGCAAATATGATGATCAATGGGTCAACATCTACTTACTCTGGAGTGAATGCAAGCCCTGACGAGGCAAACGCCAAGGAGGCAATCAACCATTTGGCTGCTGCCATTGTGAATGGAGCTAAATTAATAGCTTCTTCTCTCTTGATATGCGTGATACAAGAACCAGAAGATCAGGAGAGATTCTGGAATTGTCACTGGAAGGGAGAAAAGAGAGAAGGAGAGAAGGGAAATCTGCAAGAAACCACCGGCTGTCCACCTTCCATTTATTCCTTTTCGAAGACCGCCCCCGGCCAGGCAGGTCAATCAAAAAACATTCCTCTTCTCGTACTCCAATCACCCTCTCTCTAGCTCATGTTCTGCGAGCTTCTGTCGCCTTTTCCTTTTCTTCCTTTCCCATTATTTGCTTTTTCAGCAGCAACTCCAAGGTTGCCCCAGTTTTTCTGTCAGCATCGTGGGATTTCAACCTGGTCATTCGTTCCCCAGGCTAGGATGTACCCCGGCCCTCCCAACCTGGAGAAAGGAAAGAAAAAGCCGGGGCGGGATTACCCCTCTCTTATCATCGTCCCAATGTGTCCTTCTTCCTGGCGAGCGTTGTCAAGCTAACCACGTATATGCACTCCGTTCTCTGTACGGAGTACTCAAATCAGGACCGGAGTGATGTTGCTGCTGTTGGGTGCTGAACCACCCCTCGGCAATTTCGCTGATTAAAATTACTGCTTATCACTGCAATGGAGCAATGGAACAAGATGGGTCTGCGGAGGTAACTAAACTCATGGCGAAGGCATTTGGGGGTTAGCTCCCATTCGCAAGATATCGAGGTAAGCTTCGGCTCAAAAGCATGTCTGGTCGGATCCCTCACCCCGGAGATTATATGAGCAAAACCAGGGATTGTGAACGACGCATATTAGCACGGATACGATATGGATGGAAAGGGAAATGGATATGCAATTAGCCGATACGAATGAGCTTGGGTAGACAAGAGCAATAACGCCTGGTTTATTATTAGCAAATCGAATCTTTGGCCTGGCCTTGGCCCTCAGGTCCGAATGTTGTCATGTAAACAGTCGTGTTTTTAAGTATGCTCCAGAAATCACTTGTGCGGGCAGATGCGGGAAATGGATCTTCGTCTGCTTGTTGATACGAGATGTTGATACCTCAAGTGTTGGTGCGGGTGCCTGGGAAAAAAGCCACAGTCATGCAAAGCTCTGGGTGGCAACCATAACCACTAGCCAGAGCCAGTTAGTTGCCCAATTCACCTGATTCCGCCTGCGTCTTGGTAAGGAAGAGAAATGCCCTGGCAACTGCTAGGGAAATGGCACGTCAAGCAAAGACGGCATGAGGCCATAACTCTGACTGGGGGTAGGGTACGGCGCAGTCGACCTGCCGTGTTGGCTGAGCAGGGGAGCTTCCAGCAAGTCAACCCAGGCTCTTTTACTCGTTATCGCAGGCTTGCTTCTGCTTCTTCCTGGGGCAAAAACGACAGAAAAGGCTACAACGCCAAGTTACTGGGGCGCTGTGGGGATCTCTCCCCACGCCTGCGTTCTGATTGCAGGGCTTTCTCTCGTGCCATTCCAGAAGACGAGCAAAAAAATGCAGAAGATGGAGCCAAAGCGAGCCTGTTTCTTCCGTTGAGTTGGGAGGGATCTGCGCAAGCAGAGGGCGAGAGGATCCTGGTGAATATGCCAGCTGCTAATTGGTCTTAGCCAATATCGCGACTAGGGCGGATCTGGATGGTGGTAACCCCTTCATTCAGCCTCTGTGCGAGCTACCCGTCTTCCGCCGTGTCGCCATCACTCGCCCGTCTTCTCATGTCTGTTCCTCTGCTTTGTTTCTCCGTCTCCGTCTGTTCCCCCTGTCAACCGTCTGGCGTCTCGGAGGACTGCCTAAAAGGAAAATGCGAGGAAGGATGAAGAATCCTCGCTAGACCCGGCCGGTTCGCTGGCAGCGTGACATGTCTTGCCTTGTGGGTCATTGTCCGATGCCTTCTTGCTGGCTATGCGAAATTGCGGCCTATCCAGACACCCCTAGCAATACCAGCCATGGTGGACACTTCGATAAATGGGCCAACGGATCGTTCATAGGCTGAAGTTCGTTGAGCTGAAGTCGAAGTCGAAGTCGAAGTTGCTGGTTGGAGGTCGAGATAGACATTTTCACGTGACGGGCCCGCAGCCCCGGAGCAGGCAGAAGGTTGAATAACACATTTTGATGACAAGATGAGATATATAAAAAAAAGGGACCAGGAAGACGCCTAAGAAGACGCTAGAGAAGGACAAGAAAGAGACACCAGGCACCCCCAGCCTTGAATTTACAGAGTAAAAGAGAGTTTGAAGCCAGGCGAGCTTCTAAATAACTATATTCTACAGTCTGTTCTAGAAAAGGGTTACCTTTGGTGGTTAGCACAGCAAGACGAATTCTATTCTGCAGCATTCTCCGTACAGTCAAGACAAGAGAATGCGAGAGAGACTCTATGCCCGTCATGTCACATGGATCGGGTATTTTATACTTCAGAAAGTAGGCTATAGGCTTTGTCGACATGCATTGCGAGTTGGGGTCACCCTAGGCGACAGGCACCATTGGCATGTCTCTGCCTGCTATATGCATCACAACTTATCATATAGCAAGTATCTGTTGACCCAACACACCCAGCTATCCGGCCTAGCCGAGCAGGAAGGGCGCACGGGGATACCTAGTAGTTAACAGGAATCGAAGTGAATAATTGATTGATATCGCTCAACTGCCTCCCGCCGCTTTTTCCTGCTTCTTTCTTCTCTCAATCCATGCTCGGTGCTAGGGCCACAATGCTGAAGCCAGATACGTCGACTCCCTTCCCGGTATCGCTTTGATGCTTGAGGAACGTTCGAACCCCAAGCTCGAGAGCCTTTTCACTCAACCCATCCTGGCCCTCCTCCAGCAGCCCTCGATCGATAGGGCCCTTCACCCCGCCCTCCAAATCCCACAGGTGGCCGTCTGACCCCTTGACGAAGCAGATATAATGAAAACCACACTTGTCATCAGGAGCCGGAACAGTGCTGTCCCCTCGTCTCGCAGCTGAGCGATGTGCTCGTTCCAGCAAGGGTGAATCGTACAGCAACTGAGCACGCTCCGTAGGAGCCAGGTCCACGGCTGTCTTGAACAGTTGATCCAGTTCAGATCCTGCGGGGATATATTCCCTTGCGTCCCCGTTGCTGATGCAGTGAATCAGAGCCATCAGACCACAGGTATTTTTAATGGTCTGCCTGAACCACAGGACGGGCTCGTCTGGTCCCGAGCCCGTGTACTCGGGCATGTTGTCTGTGCCCATACTCTCGCGAGTACGGTAGTATGCATCGCGGGGACAGATGAAGATAAGGCCGTAAACTGGCCGCGGGATGAACGCCAGCAGGTCTGGGTCATCGATGCTGTAGACATCATAGAACCCCAGCTTCGGAGACACCCCCAGTTCATGGATTAGGTGGGACATCACCTCTGGGTTGTTCTCTAACCTTGTTCACCATGGTTAGCAGGTCTCACGTCGGAAGCTAAACTGGTAATAGCAGGGCACATTTGGAAGTTCGTGACGCCAGAGACAGCAAAGATGGTAGAGATAATACCTAGGGGAACTAGAGTCTTGACTCCATCGATATACTGAATCTCCGCTGTGTCTGTCTCTGCCATGGTTGATAGTTATCCCGCACACAAACAGCAAGAGTAAACAGTTAACTTCTGCCTCAGCGGTTACTTGTTTAAGGCTTGATGCAAGGTATCTCTTTGTATCTGCATCAAGTAGAGGGAGAAAAAGGGCTTATTAAGTGCTCTTGTTTGTTATTTGAGGCCCCGAAGAAGCCACGAAGAAGTTATGAAGTTGACGATGACGCTCTCTTGCTGCCTGGAGTGGGTTGTGACGAGATGCATACCATTATTACGCCAGAATCCAGTGAGGCCAATGCTTAGTTAGCCGAAATATATACGAATATTTATCAATATTACTTACTAAGCCATCCTTCGAAACAGCCGGCAAAGATGCATCAAATTCAACAACAACGCTCAAGAATATATATTTATTGCCAGAGGAACTGATAGGTCGAGCATGGCTGAGGGGACAAGTGAGATGCCAAGTCAACGGCGTTGCTGTTGTTTCCACAATGAAATTTGCTGGGTTTAACTTAGAAGAACATTTAGTTACTTTTGCCTCCATAGGTCTGACTATCAGAGCCGATGGGCGACGATGACATGCAACCAAGTAAATATTTCGGATGAATATTCATTTATCGATTGTTTAACTGTTATAGACAGGGTTTCCCTTAACTACTGGAGATTGAATGCTGAAAGTCCCAGGCATTTCTGGTGATGCTACAAGGGACTTGGGGGCTCATGCGGAGACCAGTCAACCCCTTCACTGCACGAGAGGTCAAGATATAACATCTCATCTCAAGGCCATATGCAGAACAGATACAATATAATGATCTTCAGGTCTGCCTGAGTTATGAGATGACATTCGGCCTCTGTTAGCGGCACGTACAACTCGGGCAAATGAGGACGCAGGGAAATCTGATAGGCCTCGGTAGTTAGTTTCAGGCACGACTTCTAGTGCAAAGCAACATTCATATAAAAAGCTGCCACTGCGGGAAACCAACATCGCCCAAAAAATCAAGCCAATTACTCCATTATACAGATAAAAAAGGGTGAAAAAAAGACATGTCAGACACCTCTTCACAGCGTACTCTACCGTCACCTCCTTTCTACGCTGTAGAGGGCGTCAACAACCTCAGAGATGTCGGTGGTTACACCGTCTCCCCCACCACTTCAGTACGGCGCAACTTCATATACCGGTCTGCGCATCTATCAAGCGTAACACCCACGGGAGCAAAGACTATTGTCGATGAGTTGGGCATATCATACATCTATGACTTCCGCTCTGAGGTCGAAATAGCCCGGTATCCGCTCGTAGACATACCAGGCACCACATTCATCCATGTGCCCGTGTTCAAGGACCAGGACGCAAGCCCAGCCAACCTAGCGTTAAGATACAAAGACTACGCCGCCGACGAGGGGCCTGCGGGCTTTATACGTGCGTATAAAGATATTCTCGTCAGCGGAGCAAAGTTTGCATATAAGGTTGTTTTCGAAC